TTTCCCAAAATAAACTCCCTTTGACGGTCCCGAATAGTGGCTGATTTTCACGATTTAGTTATCTCTCGAATGCTCGAGGAGATATGTTCTCCACGATTCTCCAAATTCCGAATTTTTGTTGCTGAATTTTCGGCATTTTTCATACAACAGCTGCGCGCTTTTTTTCCAAAAACTGAAGGCTTTTGTACTTGTTTTGAAAACTTCGGACTGAATTTTGCGAGTTTTGCGAAACATGTTTAATTTATGCTGCTTTTAAGATAGAAAAATGTTAAAAATCCGCTTTTTCGCAGGTTTATGTCTTTTATGGGAGGTAGCTTCTGATGAAATTCACTTTTTGAAAAAAAGTGCGCAACTTTTGTAGGGAAAATTCCGAAAATTCTGCAAAAATATAGGAATTTGGAAAGTCGGAGCGCAGAGATCGCCTCGTCTCGTCCAGAGCTCTCGATAGATATCTAAATCGTCAGAATCGGACGCTGCTATGAGCCGTAGAAGGGTGTCTTTTTTGGGATACCGTGTGGTTGTTCTATGACAATTTCTAAAGTGTGTATAATTCGAGCCCCCATTAAATCAACCAGTAATCATCCATTCCCAATCAGCCCCATCACAGCATCGCACGAAAATTTATTCCATTTTGTCCAATCAACATTGAACATGCCGTTTTAGCGTTCAAGTCATTCCCTCCGGTGAAGCCGGCCCCGGCTCCGGCCACAGTTGCCCCCCGCCCGACTTGCCCCGATCTTCGACCCGGCCGAGCTGACCGTATCGGTCGAGGAGAACGGCGGACAGATGGAGATTGCCAAGGTATTCGTCGTGAAAAGTTGCCTGAAATTGACTACTGAAAAATAAAGTTGTTACGATTGATTTCCCAGGTCGCGGCTCGCTACATCGACGGCCAGGTCGGCCCAATCACGTATGTGTTGCAGAAGGGAGATCCGTCGCTCTTTAGGTACAACAAGATTGATCTTTTTTTACAACAACTCTTCAACTTTAGCGTCAGCAGCTTCTCGGGCTCCGTCCAAATTCTACGAGCGCTGGACGCTGAGACCGACGCGCAATATCAGATCCAGATCGGCACCGCCGAGGTTAGTGGCCATTGCAAAATTACAAAAAATGTTGAAAAACCCAATCCAGATTTTTACAAACATTATTAGGCAGAGGCAGCGTGTTTTTAACGTATCTTCTGGGGGTGTAGCATGAATCCGGACCGGAAGGGTTCTGTTTAGTTATCAGGCGACCAAATTCTGCCTAGCTTCTAATAAACACCATACAATCAACTATAAACTCGCAAATAAATTTTACTCACTTTTTAGGTATAAAAAGTATAAAAAATTGTTAAACATTTTAAAAAGGACACAAAGATGGTTTTTTAATGACAAAACAATGCGTTTTTAGTCGGCAACAATGGCCATCGACCCGACGCTCGCCACGCGGCGACCCTGACGATCAACGTGGCCGACGTCAACGATTGGATCCCGAACTTCGAGTCGTCCCACTACGACTTTGCCGTCCAGGAGGACACGCTGCCAGGCACCATCGTCGGCCAAGTGCACGCTTTTGACCAGGATCGTGATGTGGGTCTTTCAAAAACTTCTGGACCAAAATTATAGGCCCCGAACAACCAAATCAGCTACCGGCTGCACTCTGCCGGCGGCCTCGACGAGTATTTCACCGTCAACGAGCAGAACGGGTTGATCACCCTAGCTCGCCCCGTCGACGCGTTTGCCGATGAGAAAATTACGGTAAATTCTTTGTTATTTAGAAAGTTACGCGTTTACAGCTGAAAATCGAGGCCTCTGATCGCGGGGACCCGGCGCAGACATCGATGACCAACGTCGTGGTTACGGTATAAATTTTCGCTTTAGCTAATTCCGCCTAAAATTTCAGGTTGAACCGACGCAGTCTGCCGTCATCCCGGAGGGCCATACTTTCTTGAACAGGCCCAGCGACAATCAGATCCAGTTCTCGCTGCGGAATTACACGTTCGTTTTTGTGAAAGAGTGGTTTTACAGTTTTTTTTTGCAAGTTAAAAAGGTTTTTAAGCTTCGAACGTCGTTTTTAGTTCATCCGTCTCGGAGTCGGTGCGCCCGCCGCATCTTGTACAAGTACTCTCGGTGACGAACAAGCCGGAAGACACGAGATTTGTCATCTGCCAAATTGTTTCGGGCAACTATCGAGGTCAGCCTTCAAACCAAAGGGTTTTTGTGATCTTTCAAACTCATTGCTTGAAATTCTGCACAAGCTTTCGATCCTGGAAAAACTGCTGCAAGGGAATTTAGTAAACTAAAAGTTTATTTTGCTAAACTTGGGCCAAACATGCGTAAAATCGGCTTTTTCACAGCTAATTTTCATCAAAAGTGTTATCGTCATCCTTTAAAAACGCCTCCTGGTAAGCAAAAAAACCTCCGTATTTAGGTGCCTTCGGAGTGACGGCCGGCAATGACGGAAATTGTGAATTGAGGACACAGATGGAGCTGGATCGCGAAAGCGTTGAACGGTGAGCACTTGCTCAATTCTTCCTGACATTTCGACAAAAACACGACGATATTTTCTTTTTAATTCTTTAATTCTTTGATTCTTGCTCATTTTAGCCGAAATCATTCTCTATTTAAAATCTTTCTTCAGTTATTTGCTGAACGTGACGGTGAGCGCGGATGGGCAGACCGATTTCGCGCTCGTCTCCGTCACCGTGCTCGACGTGAACGACAACGTGCCGCGCTTCCAGTACGACAACGACCTCGGCATCGCCACCTATTTTGCGGGCGTGGCAAGTGATGCTGGCGCTTTTGCGCGTGTCATGACGGTTAAGGTAAAGCGTGCCTCGGTTTCGAGGTACAGTTACAATTTTAGGCGGAAGACGCTGATCTCGGCAACAGTTCTGTCGTTCAATACTCGCTGGATACGCTGGCCGTTCACCACAAGGTATTTGGCTGAATCTCCAATCAGATGCCTGTATCCTTTTAGTATTTCAACGTCAGCCAATATGGCGAGATCACGACCCGCCAAAGCATGCCGGCAATCCTCCAAAAGCAGCGCATCAACTTCTTTGAAATTCGGGTTCGTGCGTCTAGTCGGCCTCTCAAAAGTTTCTAGGTGTCGGCCTGCGATTCACCAGTCACTGGGCAAAAGCTGTGCTCGAAGGCGGATGTGGTGATCAACGTCATCGGCGAATCTCATCGCTTCAAAATGATCACGCATGGTCTCAATCCACAACAACTCAAGAGCCACGAGAAGGTCCTTAAACTTAAAACTTAAAGTTTTAGGCTCTTTCCTATTATCGGGGGGTCTGGGAATTTTTCTAGGGAAACGGAATTAGAGAAAGCATTTCCAAACTGTTTTTACCGTTCATACGAGTAAAAACTTACAAATTTTTATTAAAAAGAATTTTTCGGCTGAAAACTCAACCCAAAACTTTTTTAGTTTGTTTGTTAGTTTGACTTGAAATCTAGCTAAATGTTACTAAAAATATTATTAAGATACTTACTATTACGTTACGAAACATTGCCGAACCTAAAGAAAAAATTAGCCCCTCCCCCGATAATGCAAAAGCTACAAACTTCCCTAATAGTGGAAAACCACGTTCTAAACCCAAATTTCAGGACATTATCCGCGCCCTTCGCCAATTCGCCGGCGCCTGCACGTTGATCAGTGTCGAAAAGTAAGTGTCAACCTCCAAATTGACCACTGTCGAATTAGGATGGCCGAACACACGAATTCCGCTGAACAACAGCCCCGCACCGACATCTACTTCTACGCCGTCAACCCGACCACCCGCAAAATTTGCCGCAAAAATGAGTTTAGGTGAGGAAAAGGGTATCATTCATGAATCGACAAAATTCTAGGCGGTTATTCGACCCCTCCTCGGTGTCGATGATCGCTGGAAAGGTGCAGCCGTGGTTCCGTCTCGACAAAATAGCCGAAGATGCTCCAAATGACGATCGAACTCCCGGCGGCCCGCTGGCGGCCAGCTGGAAGGCTGCTGGTTATGGTAAGCAGACGTCGCTTTAAAAGTCTACATCCCTTTTCCCATTTAGTACTCGTCGCCCTCGCCGCCCTGATCATCCTCGGGGCCGCGCTGGCCATCTGCTGCGTCTGCGTGCATAACAACAAATTTAAGGTATGTTTCTTGGGGGGTTGGCCTTCAACGCTAACGACTCGATCCGTCTAGGTTTCCCAAAGATCCATGCACGCTTACCCGAACCCCCTACGCACCGCATTCCAAAGTGCCTATGGGGCCGTTGGGCACCATTTACCTGCCCAACCCGCCGCCGCCCAACAGCAACGCCGACAAGATTTACGAGACGCAGGTAGGCGCTTCAAATCCCCAGCGGTTGTCGTGAAAATCCCGCGCAAAACAAGAACCTCTACTAATCCAGATGCTGGAAATGCCGATCACTGACGAGGAGATGACGCTGAAGAGTGTTAGTCGAAACAACACTTCTCATCATGATCAGAG